CCCCAAAACCCCAAAACCCCAAAACCCCAAAACCCCTTAGTTTTTAGAATTTTGAAATATTTACTTAACGAATATGATTTCAGAAAAGAAATTAACCTCGTTCAAGTTAAACAATGAAAATAGGAGTCACAATTTTGAAGCTAATAATGAATATGAGCATCAGAAGCAAGAAAATAGACATTTGCGTGCAAAATCTAGCTTGAGCAGTATTAAAAATTGACTTTCCAGTTTAAATTTATGAAACATTTTAGGGAATAAGAATTGTTCTAACCCAAAATAAGAAGACATATGATCACTACGACAAAAACAACATCAACATGAGCATCCAAAAGTAAGCTAAAGCCCCTTAAACCACTTTATCAGGCCAAAATTCGCTTTTTCCCCTCAAGAACGCTCAAAAACTACCCTCAAACACCCTAAACCTCCCCCTCAGAACCCCACCAAATCCCCTCTCTCCCAGTCTAACCCGCCTCAGAACCCTCCAAAATTCTCTAAATTCTGTTCCCAAAACCTCCTGTCTCACTTACACTCTAAGCCAAAGCTGTGCCTCCAGCCAGCAGTTTGTTCCTCTGAAAGTGACCTGCAGGCGTACCTGTACACGCACACTCCTCCGATCCTTGACCAGCTGACTCTTTCAAGGTTCTCTCTTAGCCCACAATCCATCTACCAGTCCAGCTTAACTTCTAGACCAAGAAGAGACATACACCCCCATGATTCTTACGTAAAAGTCCAGGAGTACAGTACATCCCAGACCACTAGTTTCAGCTCAATGGACCAAAACCAGTTCACTGATGTAACAGAAGGGTACAAGCACACACAGAAATGGGTCACGGTCAAGAAGTCACAGCCTGAAGTAGAAGAGGAAAGGGCCAAGAGACAGGGGCAGTGAGGGAGGAAGCAGGAGAGGAATGAAGAGAAAGGGAATAGTGACTGGAAGCAGGGGGAAGGAAGAGAGAAGTTGAGTAAGAAACCAAAGGAAGTCAGAAAGCAGAGGATTAAAAATGAGTGATCTGAGTATTTACAGGCTACTGTGTTGGAAAAATTGAGGAATACAAAGAAGAAGATTTTGAATACTAAGATTAGGATGAAGAGAGAGCTAAGCTCGATTATATCTTCTAAATCAGTGAAAGATAATACAAGATGAATTTCGAAACAAAAGAAAGAAGTTTCAAGCACCCGTTCTGTTGAGAGAACTAATTCAAAAGCAATGAGGTGCTTTAAACAATCAAACTGAACATCAGTAAGGAACTTAGCTCATCGTTCTAAATCAGTTAAATCTGCTGTTAAAGGATGAAAGAAGAAATCTAAAAGAAAGACAAAATCTAGAGTCAAGAATTCTAAAGGAATTGTTTCTAAAATGTCAAGTACTAATGCATCTAGAAGCAAGTCTTGAGTCTCGTCTAGAGGCAATTCAAATATTGTTAGAAATCTCAAGTACTTTTATTCTATCATAAATTTAGAAGGGCTAAAAGCTCCAGGCACCGGAAGACCAAACCTGTAAGAAAGCAGTCTAAGAGAATGCACAAAAAGGATAGAAGGGCAGAGGCTAAGTCTCAGTCCAGGTTTGCCAAATCCCAGAGAGCATCAAGATGGTTTTCATAGTTTCAACAAATCGCTTGAAACATGGGGTTTTGGGGTTTTGGGGTTTTGGGGG